ATCAAATGCATCTCCCACCAGTCGCCATGTAGAGAAGAGCAGAAATAAAACATTGATTCTTTTCTCCTCCTTATTTGTAATGTGTGCTGTGGCTATGTCTGGAGTGAACTTGATTAAATCTTTAATTTACAAGAAAATGGACTTCTAGGTGACCTCTCATTGGTGTCCATTCCAGAGAAGTGATGACTCCCGTTAATTGTTTTAAATTTAAAGGAACACTCGTAACATTTTAAATAAAAATATGTATGTGTAATGATAGTAATGAGTGTCTCTGGTTCTGTTTAGTTTATTGGGCTTCCTGTTTATGATGACTGCAGCCAATCAAATGCTTTTCTGTAGAATATTATTGATGGCCCTGCTGTATATGCCTGGCAATACGTTATAAAGCTTCCCTATGGGGAGACTGCAACCATGAAGACTGTAAATATTAATTTGTATGTGTTGGTGTTCTCAAGTAAGTGCCTCTAGCGGTGGTCTGATTCTCAGAAACAGCAATGCTTACAATTGTCAGTCAGCATTTATACAGCTAGACTGCATTGCTGTTGGTGCTTAAAGAGTCCCTTTAAAGGTTTTGGTGCTGAGATTCCATCAATGCAGTTTGGGAAAGTAATTTTTCTTTTTTGACCTTTCAAAGAAACTGCAATACTTACACTTGTCCATAAACATACCTTTACTTGCAGTCTGACTGACTGACCAGAGGCATTTATTCTTGAGTGAGTTTCACCAAATCTAAAAGTACTAAGGAACCCTCCAATGTTAATAAATAATAAATGTATTTCTAATGTTAGTGTTCCTTTAATTTTCTTTCACTGAAGGTTTCTGCTGTCTTTGTAAACAGAGACTTTAGTGCATTTTGAATACCACAAGGGCAACCAAGCAAACTGTGACCTGGTAACTGGCCTCCAGAGAGCTGGGAAAATAGCACACTCTTATATATAATTATCTCTATTTTTATTTTACAGAGAGCTGAATATGAAAACACCTCTAAAATTTGTCCATACATCCTTTCACGGGGTTGGGCATGAGTACGTGCAGTCTGCTTTCAAGGTTTTTGGCTTTGATCCGCCAATTCCGGTTCCTGAACAGAAGGATCCAGACCCAAATTTTTCAACAGTTAAATGTCCTAACCCAGAGGAGGGTGAATGTGTGCTGGTGAATGTCAATTTCTGATTCCTAAAATATTGCCTTATTTTTCACAAACATATCTGCTCATTTACTGATCGGATGATGTTTGCCAGACTTGTTTTTATTATAATTAATTTTCTGGCTATTATGAATGCTGGATGTCTATTATACAGTTGCATTTAGTATTTATATTCTGCAATTTCTTAGATACGTTCCAAGCACCATAACAACATCAGCCTTCTCTAGTGATTTTTGTGTCATGAGTGCTCGGTCATGTTCCATGATAAGATGTAAATCCATATAGTAGGTTGTAGTGATTATGGTGCTTGGGATTGTTCCTTTAAGAAAGTTAGCACCAGGGATGTGCAATTCGTATCGGCCAACGCCGGGCAGATCATTTTTTTTTTCCCTTTTAGCCCTGCTGCGGGCTAGCAGCAGAGTTAAAGGGCAGAGTGACTTGTCGGGTCCTCTGTCATGGCTCCTCCCATCTGTGCAGAGAGCCAACCCCTTCAGTCTGCAGCTCTGCCGGATGTGAGCTGCAGACTGTGCATCTCGTGATCTATGGCCAATCTGTGTTGCCGCGGGTTACCACAGCAACGCTCTGACTTCTGGAGATCGCGTGATACAGCATAGTCTGCAGCTGACACCCGGCGGAGCTGTAGACTGGAGAGACAGCCCACCGGACCAGTCACCCCCTTACCCTGTCACCAGTGACCCACTCACTCTGTCACCCCCTACCTCTGTCACCAGTCACCCCCTCTGATGTGGAATCAATTAACTGATTATCTTGTGTATCTGCCCTTGGCCAAATTAAAGAAACAATGTGTGCACGCTCTTGAAGTAATTCACACCAAACACAGGTTTCGGGTTAATGGAAAACGTGAGGAATGTTTATTCAGGGGGGGATGGCATGCCCCTTATAAAGCAAAATTATATCATATGCATTGTCAGAGATAACATGAAATAATACATCAATAATTGGTTAGGTGTTAAGTGGTTCATTTAGTGCCATTCCTACCGGGTGTGATGTCACTGGTATCTTGGAGGTCTCCCCCAGATTCCAGCGCCATCTTGTTAGTGAGGGTGTTAGTCGATGTCAGAGGGAAACTCCCTAGCGGCCATTTTAGGTAAATCACATATAAAATTGAATAATGCTGATTGTAGGTATGCTGAGTAAATAGACATTTTACTAACATAAATTGAGTTAATATTTTTGTCCACTACACCCTCCCTCCCTCCCTCACTCTGCAACTACTACATAACCTACACACGCCACACACTGTGTTCCCTACTCACGCTGCTTAACCTACACACTACATCTCTATGCTGCACCACACCATGTTCCTTCTATGCTGCACCACACCATGTTCCCTACACACACTACACAAATGTAGTACATCCCTTTCCCACACCTCACTATATTCCATACACATACTACATAACCTACACAAACACACATTACATCCTTATCCCACCTCACACTATGTTCCTTACACACACACACACACACACACACTGTATACTCTTCACACTACATAGCTATTACACCCCATACTATATTCCCAAAAGAGTTTTTAAAGAGGAGCTCAAGGCACTAGAGCCACTACAGTTTGGTGTAGTGGTTCTGGAGCAAAGAAATTGACCCTGTAGGCTCAGCAGTGAAAGCACTGCCTGTTCTGTAACCAAGCATGTCAATGGATATAAATGCCCTCAAGAGGTTGACTCAGTTAATTATAGTTCTATTTTTTAATAAAGTAAGCTACAATTCTCATTTGGAAATGATTGTTTAAATTCACTACCTACTTACATTTGTTAATTTGATTAAAGTATCGTTGGGTCTGTCTCCTAAATTACTATTAGTAAAGACCTTACTTATACACTGTTTTTGAATAAAAAAAAAAAAAAAATTTTTTTTATCAGGACAAGTATATTGTCACGGCGGACAAGTAGGTTGGGCAAACGCTTTAGTCCCTGGACAAGTAGTTTCTTTTTTTTTTTTTTTTTTTTTTTGTGGCACTGTGGCACTGTGGCACTGTGCATTATTGTGTCCGTTTTATTTAGAAATACAGTAAATAAGTCAGTGATTTAGTGATTTAGCATTCACTAAAAATGCTTTTTGTATAATGGCTTTTGACATGTAGCACTTAGCATTGCACTGACACAGTCTGTATAAACTTTCTAGGAGCTGTCTCTGCGACTCGCTGAGAAGGAAGGTGCTCGTTTGGTTGTAGCCACAGATCCAGATGCGGACAGGCTGGCCGTAGCCGAGCTACAAGAAACGTATGTACTTCATAGTTTATATCTCCCTTCTCTTTGGCATACTAAACAAATACAATGGAAATTGGCTGACCATTTGGATTTCAATTAGTGCACGAGACAGAGCAGGGCATACCACATGCACAGCTAAGGTGTTACAGAGGATATTATAAAGACATTATTTTCAGTGCATTTGAAAACGAATCCCCAGTGCATGAAGTAAATATGAACAAGAAACCTTTACTTCAAGTCATCGATGATTTGTGTAAACATATTTTTTTATTATTATTATAAAGCTGTAAGAGAGCCTGTGCAAGTCACTAAGGAATTGTGCACTGTGAGTGTTTTATGTCCGGCAACTTCTTGCTCCATAACCCAGTTCTTGATTAATTTCCCTGAAATTCAGGGCCAAATGTTAACTCCGATACAATTTTCATTTTCAGGCTATTGTTTCTGATACTGTATTAAGGATTTTTTTTTAACAGGATTCTATAAAATCATATTACATTTTATCGTACAACTTTCCATTGAAAGCTGGATTAAGGTGTCTAAGGGCATGCCAAACCTTTTTAATACCGTAAACTGGCTTTTGATGTGTTATAGGTTGTTCTAATTTTCTCAGTTTAATAAGAAACAAATCTGTATCTTAATTTTTCAGGGGTCGCTGGAAGGTTTTCACTGGGAATGAGTTGGCTGCCTTGCTGGGATGGTGGATGTTTTTTTGTTGGCAAAAAAAATGCCAAAAGGGATCCGACGTGGGGAACGTTTACATGCTGGCAACTGCTGTCTCATCCTCCATTCTCCATGCCATTGCTGCAAAGGAAGGCTTCCTTTACGAAGTAAGTGCAAATATCTCAATTAAGCTAGACCACCTTGTGATGGCTATCGGTGACTCCAGCTTGAGTGGGTGTTACTTTGCAATTTTTTTGCCCGATTTGTTCTGTGTTTAAGTACAGAGTACTGGCCACTATATAGATTCACCAGACAATTGTTTGTGTAGAGAGACAAATTGACTTACTTTAACTTACTTTTTACTTTAACGATTGACTATAAAGTTAAGTGGCTTTCTTTCTTCATTTTGCCCTCTAGATGCTTAATATACCCCAACTACATAACATGTCACATCACTGAGTGGAGATGTACTCCCCTCTCTCGTATGTTTTAACTGGGGAAAAAGTGGCGGCTCCTTTCGCAGGCCTGTTAGCATGCATATGCTCCTCGCCGTGCCCATCAATGACTCCACCTTATGTGGGTGTCTCTTTGTAATTTATTGGGACGATTTCTGTGAATGGGGAGGTTCTGAAGGCCCACCTCTCAGTGTAAGTGGATTCACTCTGCCATTATTGGCTCCACCCAGATTAGGCATTAGCTGAACAGGTTATGGAAAAGGGGAGGTCGTGTGAGATTACAGCACGCTGTCACTGCCTGTAAATCCCTGACGAAGATGCCTTATTCACGAAAACATGCTTCTGTCTTTTTTCTTGGTTTTTAAAGCATATAGCACTGTTGTGGGGCAGGTGGACAGGGCACTTTTGGCTCTTATTTGCCTTGCGGTAATCTAATCCACTGCAGAGTTTGCTTGTCTAATTTCCGGTGTAGACCATTATATCGTGCTTCAGAAAGTTTATTACCTAGTGGGCCACATGTGTTCTTAATTCCCCTGACATTCTCTACCAGAGTAATAAGTATAGGGAGGTAGGACTCTAATACGAAGTATGCTACTTCTGTTACAATGTGTGGCAACATGCTGAAACCTTCAAATGTGCCTATACCACTGATATATGTGCTGTGCTGTTACCTATCTACCAAACTAAATGTTTTCACTGTATGCTGGTGTTTTTTTTTTTTTTGTTTTTTTTTGGGCAAATGTACAAATTAAGTTTTCAATAAATATTTTCACCCAGGTATTAAAACCAGCACAAGGATGAAAAGATTAAAAATAAATAAAGGCAAGTGGCATGGAGAATAAGTATAATAATGTAAGATGCATGGGGGATAGTCATGTCCCGAACGGTTCGACGCGGACTCATCATTGAGTAAACTTTGACCCTGTACCTCACAGTCAGCAGACACATTCCAGCCAATCAGCAGCAGACCCTTCCACCTCCTGGACAGCATCCATTGTGAAGCTGCATTCTTAGTGAGCTGTCCAGGAGGTGGGAGGGAGGGTGTGCTGCTGATTGGCTGGAATGTGTCTGCTGACTGTGAGGTACAGGGTCAAAGTGATGAGTCCGTGGCGAACAGTTCGGGACATCACTAATGGGAGAAAAAAATGACTGTCCCGGTTTAACAAATTATTAGTGCTTGTGAAAGTAATTTGCATGGTGCAGATTGTCATTACTTTATCTACTCACAGGATACTTTACCTGGATTTAAATGGATTGGGAATCGAGTGAAAACTCTCCTGGATAATGGGAAAACTGTCCTGTTTGCCTTCGAAGAATCTATAGGTAACCTGCCAGCTTTGAATTTTTACATAACTCCAACATCAGCAGTGTCATACGTTCTGTGCAGTCTCTGTTTTGCTTCATTTCCCAGAGTTGTTTGTTATATAATGTGTGTAAAAGAATTATATATATGTAGTCCTACAGCAGTTAGATAGCAAAGTAGGAAACACTCTCTGCTTCATTGTTCTAGACTAAGTGCAACCTCTATTAAAGGAGCCCATTTTTTTTATTCCTCACAAATATCACTGCTTGCATCACTGCTTCAATATCACTGCCACTGTGTAGATCCTTACTGGGCAATATGTATGGGAATCCTCCTTACAATGCAGATGGGCTACCAAGCAGCTGTATAGATCCTTACTAGGCAATATGTATGTCCTTACAATGCAGACGAGTTGTGTCTATTACTTGTTGGGGTGGAACCTTTGCTGTTTAAAACTTGCTACATATTTTTTCTTTGCTTGTAAAGACCCTTGATGGTACCTTTATTATTGTTTTCGTTTTGACATATCTGTACTGGATCTTTATGGTGTTCCAGGATATATGTGTGGAACCGCAGTGCTGGATAAAGATGGAGTGAGCGCAGCTGTAGTTGTTGCAGAAATGGCGACCTACCTGGACAGTATTGGAGTGAACCTGGAAGGTCAGCTTGTCAAAATATATGAAACGTAAGTCGACTTTTCTTTTACCTCCTTAAAGCTGAAAAATAGCCCAAGATTTAGGAAGCGGTGAATACTAGACATTGAGACTCCCTAAATGAGTTGACTTGTGAAAGGGGTCACTAACTGCTCAAATCGTGAACCATACTCCAGGAATGGGCTGTATCTTTATTTTCCAGAGTTTTCCTTCAAGAGGTTGCTAACAAGTTTTAACCCAGTTAAGCCATTACAGAAGACAGACATACGATTTATGTTTTAGACAGATTCCACCCTCAAGGGTTTTCCAAAACTTAAATAATAGGAATATAGCTTGCTGTCCCGGATGACCTTGGCCTTGTCATATTAATTTCAGCTGATACTCCTTTAGGAGGGATCCAAGGATAGTTTACCTCTTACATTAAACACTCCAAGTACCACTGCAGCTCACTAAAGAGATCAGCTGATGCTCACAGCCAGTGAGTTAATCCTTACATTCCTGGATTTAGCTCAGTTAACGAAAGTTCCCACTTGGGAAGTTATAGCTCTCTGGCATTCATAGCAGAAGCGCAGTGTACTGCTGTAGTAGTGGTTATGGTGTTTTTGGTTTTTCTTTACAATGCCTAAAAATATGCAAATAATCCTAAAATAGAATGTCGCACATGCCACATACAAATGCTTGTCATGCAGGGGAAATTTTTTCAACTTGCTAGAGATTGCATAGTGGCCATTAACACTCTAAAACACATTGACTGCATGTCAGTCATGTTCATGTTAAGTATTCTAAGTGACAATGGCAGATAATGACATCAGTCACAAGAATAAAGAGAGGATACAACCAGGTAAGAGTGTCTATTTTGCACAACTACCCTTTCCATGTAAAATAGTGTGACAGGGTCGGTCCACTCCATAATAATCCCAATGTCATGCAAATCAAGTCAAAATGGTGCATTGGATCATTAGGATAAAAAAATAAAAATAAAATACAAGGCCTTAATTGTGTATATTAAAGTATATTTGACTTTATATTAATGATCCAATGCACCTTTTTGATATGATTTACATGAGCTTGGGATGCTTGTGGATTGCCTTTTCTATTTACTTGGGGAATGCAGATCCCTACCATTGTACTCCTGTGTGCCTTGCTACTTTTTTTTTTTTTTTTTTTTTAAACCAATGGTTTTTTTTAACCAACATTTGTGTATTTATACTGGGTCAAAATGTCATTAGACAATACACTTCATCAGTGTTACACAGGTTCTATTCTATTTAAGTGGCAAAGTTGACACCGATTGGCCTAGATCTTAATATTACAGCCTATGGTTAATGTGTGCATATCTTCGATAATTCCTATACACTGATCAGCCGCAACATTAAAACTACCTGCCTAATATTGTGCAGGACCCCTCTTGCTGCCAAAAAAAGCTCAATGTGTTGAGGCATTGATTCTACAAGACCTTTTAAAAGTGTCCTGTGGTAACTGGCACCAAGACATCAGCAACAACTTCTATAAATCCTGTAAGTTGTTAGGTGGGGCTTCCATGGTTTCGATTTGCTGTACATCCCACAGATATTCAATTGGATTGAGTTCAGAGGAATTTGGAGGCGAGTCAACATCTTCAATGCATTGACATATTGCTCAAATCTTTCCTGAATAATTTTTGCAGTGTGGCATGGTGCACTTTTGGTAGGTACTTACCACTGCATGCCATGTTCTGACCCAGTCGTCTAGCCATCACTATTTGGCCCTTTTCAAAGTCACTCAGAGTTTTCCTGCTTCCAACACATGAAATTCTCAAAGTGACTGTTCACTTGCTCCCTAATATATCCCATCCCTGACAGGTGCCAATGTAACTGTATAATCAATGTGATTCACTTAACCCGTCAGTGGTTTTAATGTTGTGTCTGATCAGTGTAGATACCCAGGTTAGCATAAGGTATGTGTACACATGTAATCTATACACTGTACCAGTAAAATATCCTGTTAATGACTCAAGATGCTCAATACTTGCCATCACAGGTCTATCACTGTAGGATCACAATGTACCTAGTGTGCAAAGGCTAAAAATGAGATGAAATATTGCATATATTTTATGTAATCTGCTAATGTTATATTGAGGTATAATTTGTTTTGTGTGCTTTTGCTTCTTTTTCAGCAGACACTTTTTTCAGCTTTGCTGACCTGTGCAATGACTCTTTTCATTAGTCTTGATTTTTTTGTTGGTTTTTCTTTTATCCTTTTATATAGGTATGGTTATCACATTGCTAAAACCTCCTATTTTCTCTGCTACGACCCTGCAATTATTAAGAGAATATTTGAACGCCTGAGGAATTTCAATTCGCCAAAGAAATATCCTGATTTCTGCGGCCCGTATGGCATCCTTCATATCAGGGACATCACCACAGGCTACGACAGCAGTCAAATGAACAAGAAATCTGTATGTATAAAGATGTGCAATGTATCTGCCCTTTTATCGCAGAATTTATCTCTCTGAATTAGCACCTTGTAAGATAGATTGGGAAACGTAGTAAAGATACCTATTTTATTGTGAATAAAAGTTTAAAGTAGGGGGGCGGAGCCAGCGCCCAAGCAAGGTGAGTTCCGAGCCGCCGCCTGAGTCCAGGGCTCCGATAGCGACTCACCGGGCACAGACCAGCCTCAGACACGCTCCCCTGGGTCTACGGACCATGGGGCGACGCTCTAAAAAACAGCAAGCGGATCCCGGGCCCGGCTGCTGAGATATCGGGAGTTTATTCAAACAGCCACAGCACCTCATGCAAGCCAAGATGGCGCCGACCGCGACCTGCTCCACAGCTTTGTCAGAAGCAGAGAGCATACATGGGGATGATTCCCATGCCACAATGCTAGCTGCACAACCCACAAAGTCACAGAACACTGAGTTGGGGGATGCACCTCCCTCGACCAAAGCAGACATTAAAGCTCTATTGCAGGACCTTAAGGCCATGTTTCAAGCGGATATAGCTGTGGTGAGGGAGGACGTCGCCACGCTGACAGGCCGTGTCAGGGCAGTGGAAGGGGAGCTGGGAAACACACATTTGGCACAATCTACCACAGATGCTATGCTCCACACCTTGCAGAAGAAGTGTGACGAGATGGGCCATCGATTAGCGAGCCTGGAAGACAGAGCCAAAGCCCGCAACATTAAGATCCAAGGTATACCAGAGTCTGTCTCCTCAGATGAATTGCCCCATTATACACGACTACTAGCCACGCTGCTAACACCTAAGCAAGCCAAGCAGGCCGCGACTGCCCAAGGCAGCTAAAGCACCCCCTGAGGCCCCTAGTGACGTGCTCCTGCAATTTCAGAGGGACTCTGATAAGTCCGTTGTCCTGGGAGCCGCAAGAGTATCTCCCTCACTGACATTTGAAGGCTTGCAGCTATCTTTTTATAAGGACCTATCAAGAGCAATCTTGCAGTTGAGGCAATCACTCCGCTCCACCACGAAGCTGTTGAGGGAGGCGGAGATCCCGTACAGGTGGGGTCCACACCACCTATTGGCGGAGAAAAGCGGCAAGAAGTTCACACACTCGCAAGTCCAAGATGTGCCGGCCTTCTTCCAAGCATTCGGAGTTTCGGGTACAACTCATCCACTACAAGACAAAAGACCAGTAGACTAGATCCCTCCGTTTGTTCCAAGGAGAGCCCTCACTGGGTCGGCGGACCCTCCAGCTTGACGTCATCTGAACGAACTTTAATCTTTCTTTATCTCATATTTGACAGATATAGAATGTATTATTTCTCTGGCTCCGTAGGCTAACTTACCAAGCCGTAGCACCGCCATAATGCCCCCCCCATATATTCATATCTCTCTTCATAGCTGCCACAATTGCTACACTCTAACGAGTCTTTGTATGAGCTTTTGGCCCACACTAAGCGCTACATGAGTCCTCAGGAGGCTTTTGGACAACACATAGCACTTTAAATGTAGAGGATGTTATGTTTCTAGTTCTCTCCCAACCACCTTTAAGTTTTCAGTTAAGCTCATATTTCTTATACACAAAACCTCATATCGCATGTGACAACCTGATGCTAGATTGCTGCACGTATATAGCTAATGTTTTCAATTATATGTCGTGTATACTCCATTTTACCTGCATCTAGCTATGTACCACCATCAAATGCTTTGTAGATGCGATGTGAACAAAAAAAAAAAAAGTTTAAAGTAGTTTGTTAAACAAATCATGCTCACCATATGAAAATTTTAAACCAATTTGATTTCCATAAATACATGTGATTAGGTTGTGATCTTTACTAATTACTGTTTTATTTCTGTAAAAGTAATCTATTTAATATCTGTTTAAATGCTAAAAAAAATCTATTTTCTTAAAGGGAGAGTTGAGCAAAATTCTAAACCAATATTTATATTATAAAACACAGGCATAACTACATACCTTTGATATAAATTACCATTGTAAGCATAAAGCCTTTCTTGATTCATAAGTCATATTGCACATAGTACTTTGTCATAGGCAGACCTGCTTTCCTCTTCCCAAAAAGTGAGTGTGTTTGTTTTCTCAGACAGCCCATCTGAGTCTTCTGGCTGTGTGACAAGACTTTCCTTGTCTACATTTTATTTCCAGGCGTCCGCTCTCAAGGTCCCTTTGCCATGATTAATCACTGGTTGGGTCATTCTGTATCATTCCCTTTCTTCTTTAGAAGTTTGAAATGTCACAGTCCATGCACTTTCTCAAAACTATGCGATGTGTAGGGCCACTACTTGGACGCTTATTCTGTTGCTAAGGTAAATGACCCAGCTGTTAGCAGAGGTCCACAATGATACATTCCCATGCTGTCAGGAACCTAATTTTTTTTTTTTTTTTTTTACAGATACTTCCCGTAAGTAAAAGTAGCCATATGATCACTTTCACATTTCAGAATGGCTGTGTGGCCACCTTGAGAACAAGTGGAACAGAACCCAAGATCAAGTACTATGCCGAGATGTGCGGCTCTCCGGGGCAAGGGTGAGTTCGGTTCATTTTGAAGTCTGTTTTGTTGTGTCGGGCTTGTCCTTACAGGTAGCAGCAGTATTAATCCTCAGGCCGTGTGTAATAAATAAGTTTTAGTGTCTCCTCCAATAGTAATCAACCTTATCCTGTGACACTCTATTTTCCGCAGATCATAAATTATCACACTAGCTTATATTTTACATTAATGTCTCTTAACTTGATGTATATATCAGGTAGGCTTCTCTGCAAAATCAACTGTCTTGAGAATGCTGATGTTTGTAACTTGCTCAAGGGAGACATCTTGTGGCCTTTTTTGCTATATATATATATCTATATCTATATATCTCTATATATCTCTCTATATATATATATATATATATATATATATATATATATATATATATATATATATATATATATATATATATATATATCTATCTATCTAGATATGAGCATGATAGAAAATGAGGTCAACAAAAAGATGTGAGTGATGATTATGAATCATATGAGTGATGACTAACCTTTGACTGCAGCTGCTATGAACTTCATTTCTGATGGCTGCCTGAGCATGGTGGAAAATCAATATGCCAAACGGTGTAGTCTTCTCAACTTCATATGTTGATCCCTGACTAGTAAACTGGGATCATGCAATATTGTCTTTAATTGTGTCCAAATATGTGTAAATTGTGTAGATGTTTGTTCTTATCAGACTGGCAGAGCAGATTTTGTTTGTAGAACTACCGGTCCATAAATACTGTAAGATTTTAAAATGTAATTTTACCGAATACCTGTTTGAAGCTCTAAAGTCTTTCCAATAACACAGCATGGCATATTTACAAGTGTTTTGCGCCTGTATGCTAGTTACATTGGCACTTCGTTTTGACAGAACTTTTCGAAGATTGCACTGTTCTAAAGGAATCTCTATTACTAATCCCTAATCTCCAGTTTAAGATCCATAAAAACACACTTCTGAAGGAAGGAATAGCAACTAACCATTTCTCTCCTTCATCTTTCTTTTGATTTCACAAAACCCAGTTTCGATTGTCTTCTAATTACTTGATGTAATATTTATAGGTTTAATTTTACAGTTGAAGCAAGCAATCCCTTTGAATAGGACACACATCATCTTATATCCTTATACACATCCCTTTGACCAGTGGTTCCCAACCCATTCGTGAAGGACTACCAGCAGTTCGTAGAAACATAGAATGTGACGGCAGATAAGAACCATTCGGCCCATCTAGTCTGCCCAACTTTCTAAATACTTTCATTAGTCCCTGGCCTTATCTTATAGTTAGGATAGCCTTATGCCTATCCTACGCATGCTTTTACTGTGTTAACCTCTACCACTTCAGCTGGAAGGCTATTCCATGCATCCACTACCCTCTCAGTAAAGTAATACTTCCGGATATTATTTTTAAACCTTTGTCCCTCTAATTTAAGACTGTCCTCTTGTTGTGGTAGTTTTTCTTCTTTTAAATATAGTCTCTTCCTTTACTGTGTTGATTCCCTTTATGTATTTAAATGTTTCTGTCATATCCCCCATCTCGTCTTTCCTCCTTGCTATACATGTTAATTATTTGGACATTTCTCGGATCTGTTCCACTGAGGATAGTGACCAAATCTGGACCACAAATGGACCTTGGGAACCACTGCTTTAGACTGTAAGCTCTTCAGAGTAAGGTCCTCTTGTACCTGTAATTACTTGTTTTTTTCTGAATTGTAAAAGTTATGTTGCCTATAGTGACATTGACTCTGTCCTGTAGACCCAATTACTTATATCACTAGAAGAAACTTTTGCAAAACGTACTGACCTCTACCTAAGGCTATGGGAGTAAATCTATTTGGAGGACAGACAGAAAGCCTTTCACAAATAGGGACCACTGTTGGTGTTTATAACCTACATCTGTTGCGTTTCCATTAAATAACAGCAATGTGATCTAATAATGATGCTTCTGTACTTGCAGGGACAAGAAATACCTTGAGGAAGAGTTGAAAAGGGTAATCGATGCCTTGGTGGAGAATTTCCTGGAGCCAAGCAAGAATGGGCTCACCTGGCATTCTGCTTGATCTCTGCTCCTGTAGTACACCTGCACTCCAGTTACTGCAACACACGAGCCCTATCATCCTTAAAGAAGTGACCAAGCCCTCTGGTTTCATACAGTACCGGGGCTGGTGAAGGGATTTGCTCATTTATCTTCCCTCTACAAGAGAATTGTCCTTTGATATTGCAAGCATCTTTGTTTCCTTTGTTAAAATTGTCAGGTTTTTGTTTTTTTTCCATTGTTAATGTTGAACATATCAACTGGTAGAAATGGTAGATGATCTGATTGTGTAGAATATCAGGACGTCTTAGAAGTGAAATCTAAGAAACGGGTCTGAAATCAAATTGTCTTAATATATTTAACCATTGCTGCCTGTTCATAAAAATTATTTATGTTTAAGCTTCCTGGTTAAAACGTTAGATTTAGTCCTCCAGAATGTTACAGGAAGATTACGGTGTTTGAGTTTGTGTTTTTATGTTAATTTATTATTTTATACATTTTATGGCTATGCTCCATACGTCCAAACCATAGCACTAAGCTGTGGTAGCGGCTGGAAGTCTTATTGGTATTCTTGTCTTACTGTTACAGTTTTGATTCATGATGAAAGGTTGTGTAGGTTGAGTTTGTTATGCAATAAAACTCTGCTTTATTAAGCGTGAAGCAGTACTGCTGCAATTACGGAGTGTTGAGACACTCTACCATAGGGTTTTGTAAATAAATTGGGGCTTGTCCGTATAGTAGTGAGCTACAACTCGCATTACCCTAAGCCAGCCACTGAAAACCATTTTAATTACAGTTTAACAGTGCCCATTAAACCACATGCAATTCAACTGTTTCAGTGAAATTTTCCATATCCCGCCAAGCATTGGCAATACAAGGACCAGAACCCAATTTTCCTGCTAGTCCCGTATGTGAAAAATGCTTGCTCCAGAACGGTTTGTTAAAACCCAGCTCTGTAGAATGTATGTTTCTTTAAGCTTCCCCAGTTCGGTAGGCGACCTGGCAACCGTAAGCTGCTTGGGAAGATCTGTGTTATAGCATTCTGATTCTGACCTACAAAGTGGGTTTCAGGATACGAGTGTGCTGCCTTATATAAAATGTGCTTTTCTCATTAAAACGGTTCATAACTTTGTCTCTGTATGCTTAGGTCAGCAGGGCCTACCCTAACTCCAAGCCCCTTATTTTAAAAATCTTATTGTTTCTGTATGTCTTACAAGTGCCCCTTGAAGGCAATCTGCCCCCAACCTGAGCTTTATTTTACCTTCATTTCATACAATCCTGGCATGTCCATTTCAAAATGATTACTTGCTACACAGTAAGTAATATCACATGTTACAGTGATCACACATGGGGAGTGGGATGCTCTTGTAGCGTTTTGTACAGCAGAGCAAAGCTATAATTACACAGATCTCTCTCTGACACTTCAAGTCCTTTATATTGGTCCTGTAATATCATGAGCACTTTAAACATACATTATACCATCTAAGTAAGTGTTTAAAAAAAAATAAATTAAAAAACATTAGCTGTAATTAGCTAAAAATGTGCCTTCTGTGAATTTAACAATGGCTCAGTACACCGGTAATAACTGAATAATTGTACTGGAGGTAGCAAAACGCTGGAGCTTTAGGGTAATTTTCAAATTAAATGATACAGTGCTGGCTGAGGATAATGAGAAAAGTATCTCAACGCTAGATCCAGTTTGCAGATTCCCAGCCCTGAAATTAAAGGGATTACTGTTTTAGACTTATTACATAGAGTATGTCGGTTCAGAATCATTTCCTTACTTTGTTGCTATCGTCAACAACAAGAATTGAGTAGTAGTAGAATTAAGTAGTTGTTTTTTTTTTGTTTTTTTTTCATATTATGGAAATGTGTGTACATAAGCTAGTCAAACCCCAGTTAGATACGACTGGCGTCCTTTGACTTCTACCTTTTGCTAGCTGCTGTAAATGGAAAGCTATATTTCAGTTGTCTTTTATGAAAACGCACACACACTTGGTCTGTTTGTAGATACTGACCATGAGCTGACTGTCTGTATTTGACGTGAGTACAGACTAATCTGAATTGGCTGTGAGATGGCTATGACGGATTCATTTTGCTTTAATGTTTATCTGCACTTTAGAAAGCAGGAAGTTGCACACGTGCATGGAACGTGCAGCTGGACGCACACCCTAGTTTAGAGAATTTAACCTTTCTACATAGGTTACAAGGGGCAAAAAAAAAATATTTCCCCTTTTAAAAATTAATGTTTTGCGGTTATGGTGCTTGGATTGTTTTTTTAATACATGAAGAGCCAGATCATAAACCAAGTGATTCCTTATTGTTGTTCTGTTTTTATCATGATAGCAGTTGGACGCTTGGCTTGTACTCAGAGAGGCAAATTAATAAATCCTTCTGATGTTGGAGCAATTAACACAAAGCAAACGAATGCTTCCCGTACATATCCTGTCTTACTAACTTTGTGCGCCAGTCTGTAGGTGCCGCCTGTACACTTGCAGCTATGCTTTGCAGTTGTGACGCTGAATGTATGGGATCTTTTGATAGACATGTTTGCACTGTAATTAGTGTGGGTATTTTTCAAAGCCTGTGAATGTTCTCCCCAGGCAGTATGTGCCCCCCGTATTGCACTATTATTTTCTTAACGCACTGCTGCCTGCATGGTGATGTTTGAATGTTTGACGCAGTTTCATATTGTTTGTTCTTTGTAATTCTTTCCTGGAGGTCACAGCAATGTAGATTTTGTATAACTTTTTGTATTTCTTGTGCGACTGCATTGCTTTGTTGGTTTTGCGTTTGTCACTGATGGTAAGTGCTTGAGTGCCGTAAACCCAAGGACTTTAGTTTGTTTGATTTCGCAGTTTCTCCCTCATACTTGAAAGGTATCACAGCTGGTCAAGTTCCGGTGGGGACATTCCATTTTTCAAAATGGTTACTGTGCTCAGAGAAGTGGATAATAAAGATTTTTGGCATTCTGCTTTCTCTCGTTTTGATATAACTTTTGTAGGTATTACAGTAGTTCAGTTTATGGGTTAAGCCACTTCTGTGGATATATTCTCCTTATTGCGGTTTTTACAATCATAGTAGCTCCTACAATCTGCTTAGTGGGGCCAATCTGGGTTTTTGCAATTTAAAGTGCGTATGGATTGTATGCAATAACATCACTAATACCTGTAGATCTGTTTACAGAATGTTTTGTACACAGATTTCAAACTGAAAGAAACTGCAAGGAGGCCGGGTACTAACCTGTCAGGACAGACAATTGGAGTTGGAGTAAAAATGTGTAACTTTTTTTTTTTTTTTTTATGCAATAAACCGTTCAGGGTAAGATGCATATGTTTCATGACGATATGACCTCTCCCCAGAGTTACACAAAGGTACACCTTGAAATAAAATATGCCAAAACCTGCTGGAGAATCATACATCACCAAAACTATCCTGAATCATTTGCTCCCCACTGCAAATCAAATAATACATATGGGAACCATTAAAGGAGATAGAGGGGAAAAGGAAGATGGGGGAGGCTCACTAAACAGTAAAACGTGTTTTTAAAAGCAGCCTAACATGGCAAACCCACTATGGCCAAATGATGCAAAGTAATAAAGGAATCGTAGGGTGACAAAAAGAAACTAGTAAACCAGAAAAAACATATAGAAAATGTATCATTTATTTCTCTTTGTCGGATTATGATTGCTCCATTACTTGAATTTATCATTTGTGCCTAGTTGGTTTGCGGTGGTAAACTGCACACTTTTTAATTAACTTTTTATTCCCTTCTTATCTTGTGTATTATGTAGTGGGAATCCACAGATTTTGGTGGTGTGGTTCTACCTGTGTGTAACTCTGGAGGTATTTCTCTAAGCCCCCTTTCCCCCCTCCTTCCAGGATCTTTGCGGTTTCTTTTTTCCATCTAGCGAGTGGAGAACCTACCACAGGGGACTTGTGGGGTAAGAATTTGGATCTCTTTTTATATACTGTCTATACCATTGATCTTTTTGTTGCGTCTTATGACGATACAAATCTTAAACTCCCGGCTGAACTGATGTTCACTAACCACCCTCTGCGGATGTAAATAGAAAGTGTTCAACATGTAAAGTACAATGCGGTTTTTAGTTCAGTCACACTTAAAATATAAAATACTACTGCCTAAAATGTAAACTGGCAACTTTAATCTGGTTGATAAAAGAATGACACCTTATAGTGTTGATGTCCAGCCGTCTTTCAATGCCCATCAACAGTCCATTATTTACATATTGAGTCATTCTATTACAATAACTATACTGACAATAGCTGGCCCACTGAGATACAATGTGAAGAGGGCTGTAAACCTTTTCATTATACCAGAGTTGACTTTTAAGCAATATAAAGAGTTACTTTGTCCATTTAATAAACATTTTCCAAAAAGTAACCTCAACTGTAGTTATCTTCTGAATGAGTTTGTTAATGGAGGGACAGTCTGGGAACCAAAACAGTTTTATTGTTATAAATTTGATAGGATGTCAGGAGGTTCCTTGTGCCCGCTTACCTCCAGGTATTAATTGGTTTAAGCTCAGTGTCTTCTGTTCAGCTCCGTTCAGCTCTACAGCTGAACTTCCATTGCAGTCTGAGGCTTCAATCAGGAAGCCTTGGACAGGGTAGCCATTAATCTGCTGATGCTCTTCACCTATCAGAGGCACCCCTGTCTGAGACTGAGTGTTTGAAATGTCTGACTGCAATGGAGGTTTGGGGGCCAAGCAGACTGGTGTCAGACAGAAGACTTTGGGGGTAAACCATTCATTATTAGTTTAACCCTAGAAGGTAACAGGCAGCATAACTACTTCATTCTGATGAAGTTGGAATGGTGCCTAGAGTGTTCCTTTAAGACCCATGAGTCGTCCTGGGCCGTTTTATCAGTTGTAACCTGCTTTACCCTGGCTGGGTGAGCATCCTCAGCGATAGAACCACCAGTAGAATAATTAGAGTGTCACTTGTTCATCACTGGGAGATACACAATTATATATCATATAGAATATGAAAACATATCACTACATAGGTAAGTGTGTCCTTATTAAAAAGAACACTGTGTAATAAATATTTCTCTTGCCGGTAAGTTGCACTAGCGCCATTTTTTTAATTGCTTGCTTTTTAGCAATATCCTTATCCATCTGTGGTATTTAAACAATCCTACGTTTGTTCAATTTGCTGCTCAAAAGAAATGTTCTTTTTTTTTTTTCCATCCACTATGTAATTTATATTTTATGTATATATTATTTTTTTCTTGTAAAAAGTGTATAGGAATAATGTTCTTTTTCTTGCAGTATGAGTTGTTGACAATACTTCATCTTCTGGTGTTCGCTAACTCACCACAATTTGAATGCACCATGGGACAACTGGGAATAAATCTTTTAGGAGATTGTAAAATGTGTATTTTACTGGACCTCCCATTAGTTATCAGATTAGTTATTATTGGTGGCATGCAAACCTCAAACCCAGGGTGATTCCATCAAGATTACTGATGTATGAATGAGTCCACTTATTCTTCGCTAGTGTCTAACTTAATGTCTAATATATTAGCTGCTGCCAAGAGCAGAACTTGAAAACCCAGTAATAAAAGGCTTTTCCTGAGTGACAGTATAGCGCTATTGGGTTTACAAAGCTCATATGTAATTTTGATGCATTAACCCTATTGGTGCCCGTATTATAAACCTGGGACACTAAGAACTTGGTATTTAGTACATTAAATTAATTTGGCAAAAACACAAAATAAGCTTGTGTGTTTCAGTATTTTACATGCTAAGTTCGTGAAGACCAACTTATCCAAAGATCCTGCAAAGAGGCATAAATGTCCATTATTTCCCATTGGTATGTTTTGTTTACCTTGTTTTGCTGTTCACTTTTTATTAATAGGTTATCGCACATGCTAGTACTGCTATAAGCTACTGTATTTGTTTTATTATTGTTTTATTGTGGAGTTATAAATACATCCTAAATATCTTCTTTACATGTTTGTACTTTATTCAACATGTTTTAAATTGTTAATTTAGCATCTTTTGATAATTTGACTTAATATGAACTTTCACACCTTCTATTAGCAGAAAATGATTGTGCCAACACCTTAACCTCTTCAGCTCATTGCACTGGTTGTGCTGCAGAGAGTCTGGTGCCACCCCTAAAACCGGAGGCTCATCCAGTCCATCTGTTGTGGCTTTAATAATGCTCCCACCAATTACTGCTGGGGGGGGGCCAGGGCAGCTATAACCACACATCACTCAAGGCACTGCAGAAGGTTGCCTGTGGTGCCTTATTTGTTAACACCAATCACCGCTCCAGAAGACACATTTCAACAGGCCAATGGTCGAATTGCATCTATTTATACATAACTGCATCTGATGTTTGTCATTGCCTACGGCCGGGTTCGACAAATTTCAGGTTGCTATGGCGACTAGGATTGTTCTGGTGTGTGTGTCTCTCTATCAGGGAGTATACATGTGTCAAATCAGTGAGTGTGTATGTTTTTCAGTGTTGATTTAGGAGATCGGCCCCCCTTCGATTGCATGGGAATGGTGTTTACTCCTTTTTTTTTTTTTTTTAACGCCATGGTGGTCTCGCTGACGCTGTCCTCGCCTCCATGGCTCAGCTAATGCAATAGGAAAGCATTGGGAGGCTATTGCGACTGCGCTAATCAGCATTTCCTTCAAAATATGTATTGAATCAGTGTATCTCTATGGGGAACATTCTGCGCATCCATGCATGAAGACACTGAATGTAGATGCTGCACACTTTTCTCTAAAAAGGCAGTGTTTACATTGAAAAGCTTGCAGGTACAGGATATATGCAAAGTAACTGTGTGACAAAATTACTCTAATTACAACTAAAACCCACCAACAAACAAGTACAAACCATAAAAAATTTAATATACAGCGCATATACTAACATGGAGTGTATTATAAGTCTATATCCTCTGCCATATTTTATTATTTATATAGCGCCAGCAAATTCTGTAGCGCTGTACAATGGGTGGACTACCATACATGTAATTGGAACCAGACGCACAGGAACAGAGTGATTTAGGGTTCTGCTAAATGCTTACATGCTAGAGGGAATGGGGTATAGTGACACAAAAGGTAAGCGTATGGTAGAAAAGTGGTGCTAGGATAGTATTCAATTGATGACCGTTGCAGTAGAGGAATCCTGGTGCAGAGAGGGAAAGCTGTTCAGTTTAATTGATATGCATTCCTAAAGAAGTTTTCAAAGATTTTTTTTGAAGGAGTGGAGACTGGGTGAAAGCCTAACGGAGAAAGGAAGTGTGTTCCACAAAAAAGCTTTGGAGAAGTCTTGAAGGCGAGAATCAGAGTGGGCGTACGGACAAAGGATACACGCAGGTCTTCAGCAGAGCTCAGGGGCCTCAATGGGACATACTTGTGTATTAGGGAGCAGCATTATGTAGGGACTTGTAAGCAAGCACCAGGATTTTAAATTGAGTGCTGTATCTAACTGGAAGCCAAGGTAGGGATTGACAGAGGGGGAGATGCAGGCGGACAGGAAAATGAGCCTCGCCGCTGCATTAATTATAGATTGCAATGGTGCAAGCTGGGTACACATATGACCATTGAGAAGGGGATTGCAGTAGTCAAGGCAAGAGAGAATAACGGCATGGCCCAGCACATTAGCCGCATCCAGTGTTAAATAGGGGCGAGTGTGAGCTATGTTTTTGAGATGGAAGTGGCAGGATTCTGCAATCAGCTGGACCTGAGGGGTGAAGAAGAGGTCGGAGTCAAAGAGAACACCTAGTCAGCAAGCCTGCAAGGTAGAGATAATAATGAAAACCTTACCTTAAAGTAACTGTTATGTCAAAGTTGTTAGAGATAGGAAAGGCAAAGCCAGTTAGGAACTTGGACTTTGGCATACCAGTAAGGTTTTCATTTTTGTTTTGAAATAAATGTGATCTATTTTTACTCTAACTGGCTTTGCATTTCTAAGCTCTTACCAGTGACAATCAAGTCATCTCTCCACCTTAATTTGGAGTCACAACATCACACCAAAGATGAATTACGAATGCAATTAAATGTGCTGTACACTATATTTTTTACTATAAGTACAGGATATAGACTCCAGAACCACTACATTAAGCTGTAGTACAGTGTTTTTATTTTTTAAGAATTGTATTTTTGTTGTTAAAAAATTAAGGTTTATTAAAAAGAAATGGCTCTGAACTTATTTATCTGGCAATCCAAGTAACTTCATCAAGCACTGGCCTATGGTGACATTTCATGAAGCTCTTGACAAATGTTTTGTATGGTCTATTTGGAAATTAGTTTTTCTCAGAAATCAAACAATTTGTCGCTCAATGAGCTTCAGTACTAAATGGTCCTGATCGGTTTGTATCTTAAGCTAACTAAGAAGTTTGAGATTTCTCTTGTTTTAAAGTAAGAAGAAACTCAGGAGGCTAAGTAGCAGACTGGTACTGCTAATCAAATGCCCTTGATTACTTGATAATCAGCAAGTGTGACTATCTTTATTGAAGCCAAACTTTTAGCAGTTTGCTGATCTGGAGCATTTAGGTGTGTTAATACAATGCCACTGAGGAAAGACATTAGGGTTATAAGGGCATTTCCAAACAATTTAAAGTCCATCATTCTACAGTGGGAAAGATTATGCAAAAGTGGAAGCCATTCAAGACAGCTGCCAATCTTCCCAGGAGTGAATGTTCCATCATATTCACCCCAAGCTCAGTCCGTGCAATGCTTAAATAAATTGCAAAAACCTATCCAACTTACAGGGAAATATTTTCGACTTATGCAGACTGTTTTCACAAAATAAATATGGGGCAATAAGTCGGCAAGACTAGCTTACTCCACATTAATGTCCAATATAGCCAAAGGGGGTCTGGGATTGCCTCACTTATACAAGTACTGTGTTGCGGTCTTACTTACGCGCATAAAAGAGTGGGCAGACACAGGGAAAAAAAAAAAATCTTTGACGGCCTAGAACAGAGCTTTACAAAGGTTCCCCTCTACTCATTACCTTGGCAGACATGTCAAATTAAAGAACTCTCCCCAACACACCACCCACTCATCCAACACGTCCTCCAAATGCGGCGGTGACACAAAAACACCTGAGTGCTGTCACCAGGACTTTCTGTATTTTTCCCACTAGTGGCCAACCCAGACCTCCAGAATGGACAAGGGAGTACCATACTATCCCGAATAACTGGAACCCCCAACTGAGACATAACAGCCCCGACGGCAGATGACCCTCCCCAGCCAAATTAAGAGATTTCCCTAGACAGAACCGACAGATGACATTACTGGACACTATGGGCAGGACGCAACTGAATAACTTTCTGACCAAGTCAGTCCTCCTCTTCTGGCACCCAAGGAACAAGACACCCTTTGAACTTCTTTGTGGCCCAGGGAGCAAATCTACACGCCCCCTGTCAAAATATAACGTATCCTCCAGACCGCAATGGAGGACCAGCAAGAATGGATGAGAGGTCTACACATCCACATGTTCACATTCTGAAATCGGGAATTAAAACCCCAATTAGCATTGCCCGCAAAGAGACCTTCTACAAAAGGGTCACCAGATGGTATAGAACCCCAGCACAGCTACACACTTTTTAGCCCACAGTCAGTGATAAATGTTGGAGATGTGACGGGGAGCAGGGGGATATGGAACACATTTGGTGGATTTGCAAGGACATAGCTCCATTTGGCCAACAAATATTAAATGATATAGCAGAGATCATGCCTCTGTGGACCCTCTTACACCCATCCCAGGTTTTATTAAGTTGATCACGTTTTTTTAAAGAAATACACAAACAGCCACTGCTGAACCCATTGATAGGAGAAGCCAGCACCCTTATCCCAATGTACTGGCGTCAAACAAACACACCAACCAGAGAGCAGTGGGTGGAGAGAACGAGGGAAATGGAGGAGATACATTCCCCTGAGGAAAAGTCTGCCTTCAACATGGATGCTGTCCAGGAGGTGGGAGGTTCTGCCGGAGATTGGCAGGGATGTATCAGCTGACCGGAGTTCATGGCGAACCGTTCGCGAACGGTTCGCGACATCACTATTTATGAATAATGACTTGAAAAGCCGAAAGACCACAGCCCTTGAAGGTATCCCCTCCTTCTCAGCCTTCCTTGTGCATTCTGTATGAGCAGACTTTAAAATTTTGGAGGGAACGAGGCAATCCTACATAAGCTATTGATAAGGATATCATAGACAGACAAAACACACTGAGAAGGAGACGGTCAGATACCCCCACTGGGAGCAACTGACCAGGTGGACATACCAGGATCTCTTCACTACTGTATTTGTACTTTGTCGCAAAGCTGCATTAATGAGTCACTTTCCCTTGTGTCCAGCTACTTCATAAAGAGACCTGGCCTTAGAGCATTTACTGCATCCCTCAGTTTAACTAAATACTTCAATGGATTCTCACTTCCACATTCCATATTCTCACATATTTTTTATTGTGCTGAGCATATTGTATATTTTTACTGATATACATTCATGTTTTTTTATGTTTTGTAAGCTTATCAATACATAGTTTGTGCTTTTATCTTGAACATTTGCATTGCTTTTTATCTCCCCATTCTTCTTTCTGTGACTGTACTATATGTCCAAGAAAATTTGTCACTATTGGATTTGGCTTCAATAGCTCTCACCTTAGACATCTAGTATATCTGTGTTTACCAGTTCTCCTTATTGCACAGCCTTAAGTGAACTTTGTTTTGGAAGCTGTTGCTGTGAACCCACAACATGCAGTCAAAGGAACTCTCATGGCAAGTGAAACAGGCCATCCTTAGGATGAAGAAAAAAAAAATCTATCAGAGATATATCAGGAACATTAGGAGTAGACATTCTGATTAAAAAAGAACACACTAGCAAGCTCTGCAACAAAAAGAGGTTTGAACGTCCATGGGAAACAACAGTGGTGAATAAGTTTCCATGGCAAAGGAAAACCCCTGAACAACATCCAGCCAAGTGAAAATGCTTCAGAAGGTGGGCATATCATTATCCAAGTCTAACATACAGAAAATACATCTCAAGAATAGAAAGGCCAGATTAGACTTTGCCAAAAAACACCAAAAAAAAAAAAAGCCATCCCAGTTCTGGAACAGCACTCTTTAGACAGATGAATCTATTAAGAATATCAATCTGTAACAGAATGATAGGAAGAAAAAAAGTATGGAGAGGGCTTGGAACGGCTCATAATCTGAAGTCTACCACATCATCTGTAAAACAAGTTGGAGGCAGTGTGATGGCATGGGCATGCAAGGCTTCCATTGGCACTGGGTTACTAGTGTTTATTGAAGATGTGACAGAAGCAGCCAGATGAATGCTGAAGTGTATAAGTATATATATATTGTCTGTTTAGATTAAGCCAAATTCAGTGAAGTTGATGACCCAAAAAAAAGCAACCCAGGAGTTTTTTAAGGCTAAGAAGTAGAATATTCTGCAATGGCACAGTCAATCTCTATATCTCATCAATTGCATCTCAGTTGTCTCATTTCAAATCTATTGCAGTGGCGTACAGAGCCAACAATAGTGAAAAATGTGACAGTGTCCAAATATTTCCAGACCTCAACATATGTATTTATATATGTATGTGTATATGTAGCATATGTGAAGATGTGTCAATCCTGCTGATTCGAGTCATGTGACTGGAGTGTTATTGCATTATTTGGATCGGCAGTATTGGCTGCCTCAGATGTAAGTAGGGCTAGAATACTGCCTGCAGGAAGAGCCCAATCACTAGGATATACTATGCCACCCTAACGACATTAAAGCCCTCCTCTTGTAGAAAGGCAAAGCATGCCAGAGCATTGGAAAAGGTTAAGATCATAATCGCCACAATGGTATTATTCTCTAAGTCAACTATACTCCCAGTTTGACTAATATGGCCTTAAATTTGAAATTCACTTTGAAATCTTGTTAGTGAATAACCCTGTAAATATCAATGGCCTTTCAAGGAAGTTATTAAAAAAAAAATCTTAACAGGCCATTGATGTTAAAATTGTTTATAGGGTTTTTTTTTATTTTTTTATACTGATTATGCATCTGTGTGCTAATGCACATTCTTAGATTGACTCCAAATGTGCCGCTGCTGAATCAGTGACTTTCTGTTTCTGTTACAAGGGGTAAGATTCCGATAATGAAGATTTTAAAAACATTCTAATCAAAATGTAGTTCATGATTTGGTCGGCGGGATCTTTTCTTTGTAATAAAAAAAATATTTCGTTTTGGTTTTAATAAATGTAAAAAAAGTATGAGTGAATGTTTATACAGCATTTTAGCAACTAATTGCACACATCACCAAGTGCCCTGTAATACGATTATCAAACTGCTTTAAAAATGCCATACTCCACTGAATTTACTAAAATAGCAGATTCAGATCTGTTAAATGCTGTACAGACAGAAAATGGCCTAAAAGCGGTTCAAGAGATCTAGTTTATTTCTTTTAAAAAAAAAACAGAAAGAAAGAAAAAACTTCCTGGATTGCTTCCTGTTACCCATGGTATTCACTCACTCTAATTTTCTTTTCTTTTTTTAAATATCTTTTCCCTTTTTAATTTTCTATTTTTTTTTTCACCTGACATCTACCATGGAACGAACTTTATAGAAATGTGTCTTATCACATACAGCTGAGTTTTTTTTACAAGATAGTTTCATTTGATGTACTTTTGGAAAGAAAAATATTGGTATTTTGTACTTATTGGTATCTTTTTCATGTTTTAATTGTTTGATGAAGGCTGGTTTGAACATATGAGTTATTGTTATATATCTCTTCCACTGCTTGCAACTCACAAACTCACTCCTGTTTTCTGTTCAAGAAGGTCATAAGTGTGAATTTCATAAATTTTTTGATAAAATACAGTTTTGCAGATGATGTATAATTCTTGTTTTTAATGTTTGTGTCCGTATACCATATATGACCGGGTTGATTAGAGGAGGGAACACTAAGGAATTTACAGACAGTACAATGTGAGCAGTGAGAGGGAGTTGGTTGCTACCCAATCTGTAACGAATAAAAACAAATAGAACCCCGACTAAAAATATTGAAAAACTGAGTAGATGAGTCACCAATGTGTGGAAGGATTTCTGACGTTCATGTCTTGAAATTGTCAAGCAGATGAGGAATATCTTCAGATAACAATAAATAATGATTACCATGGTAAAAGTAAAAAATATCACCCAGATAGTAGTCCCGTAAATATTATTGACAGAAGTGTCTACACAGGACAAAACAAAAATGGACATGTTGTCACAAAATATGTTTTTAATTTGTGTTCCACAAAGGGGCAATCTTGCTGACAGAAGAACTGTTGTCAACACCGCTGCAAAAGTAAAGATCAAAGATCCACCGATCAACTTCAAAACTTTGTCGTTTGTCATTAACATGGAATATTTGAGTGGATGGCAGACCGCTAAATACCTATCATATGCCATGATGGTCAAAGTAGATATTTCAAAATAAGCAAAAGCTGTGACGCAGAAAGATTGGCTAAGGCAGGCTTCACGCGAAATTGTCTTAGATGAAATAAGGAAATCAATAGTTAGCTTTGGAAGGAAAGATGAACTCCCAAAAAGACCACTAAGAGTCAGGATGCATATAAGAAGGTACATGGGTTCCTGCATGCTCTCTTCATTTGCAATTATGAACACGACCATGAAAGTCAAGAGTACAGTAGTTATATATATGATGATAGAGGTTGCACAGTAGAAATATTTCTGCTCTTCCATTTCCACCAGTCCAAGGAGCCAAAGAACAGAACTGGAATTTGACGCACTTTCCATCTTGGTTTATTTTTTCTGTTAAGTACGACAATGAGATAACTTCATCAAAGTAAAGAGCAAATACTTGTAATTTCCTTGTATCTCTAGTAGCCCAACTAGCAGAAATCTCCACAATGATTTCAAAGTACCATCAATAGATTCTAAGTCGTTTTTTGTAAGCCATTAGCAATGACATGCTGGCTGCTCTGACATCATCTTTTTTCTGATAAACTCCGTCTTGTATATATAGCATGCTTTTATTTCAGCACTCCAATAAATATTCCCACTGCTGGGAATTATCTCCTCTCTTGTGGAAGAGAGATTGTTGGATTTCCTTAATACACTGTTGCAACAAACTGGAATAATATAGGATAAGACTCCTGTTTAGTTTTTTCACATAAAAGGTTACTCCAAACATAATAACTATTACAGCCTGTGGTGAGGAGTATCCTGTCTCCATTCCACAATAATGGGCAAATTTTTGCCGGAGTTTGCCCCTTTTACCTATGCATAGAAATGACAATAGCAAGTTAGGAACTCCACAGGCTCATGACACCCCAATGACACTACAGAGGTGTAGTAACAGCTCCAGCAACAAAGGTGCTAAACTTGGCATGGGCTGCACATACAGACTCCAGGCACAATGACCACGTCAAATCCCTGAAGTAGTCAAGTTCTTGGAGTAACCCTTTAATTTGAAAGTTGGATAGTTGTTTTTTGGGGAAGGGCTTTCCTTTCATTTTTTCCTAAGTGTATATTACTTTTGACTTTGTGTAGAAATCAGTTAAGTTGATAATTAAAGGAACATTAATGCTATTTTATTGTGTTAGATAAGCTTCTTACATGATTAACAGAAGTGATATTGTACAGGGTAGTTATTGGTGCAGAAATTGGGTATTTTTGTATAAGAAAAGTGTGTTTCTCACTCTGTAATGTGTGCTAACAATTAACTATATATACTGTGCTAACACTACCTTAGGAACAATAAGATGCTGTTGAAAAAACTTACATGAATCGGCATCTAAAACTTGCATGAAGTCCGTATCTAGCTCGAGGTCACCCTGTACTAAATTTCGATTAACGGTGTTGACTCATGTCTGGTCAATAGAGAAAGAGGAGTATATTAAGCATGTCCATTATCCACATTTCTTTTTAATCTTTAATTTAAATATTACATAATACAGATATATCCCCTGGGATTTCTATTGGTGCAAGCTGTACAGATATCACAACGTTTGCAGACAACTCTACATAACTGACCCTTACACATACTTTACTGTCTTTATACACATGATTAATCTTTTTCACCAACCACATAGTAGGCTTCAATAGTAACCACCTGCCGTGGGTCTTAACCCATATCCCAGGTGGTCTACCCATGCTTTTGACATCATCTAAGGGTCAGGCTCACATATAAAATACCTGAGAGTCCTAATAACCAGACAGGTTAATAATTGAAATCAAATTAACATTTCTCATGTAATCCAACTTATTACTATCCAATTGAGGAACTGGCAACACCTCTCTACAATATTGGGCAGGGCATGACTTGGAAAATCTATAATATTTCCTAAATTATTATACCCCTTACAAATCCTTCCCTTACATTTTTAAAAGGTGATGTACAAAGGTTACATTCACTTTTTACTTTGTTCCTATGGTATGGGAGGTCTTAACATCCCTCACCTATTTGAATATAATTTGTTGCAGATATTAAATTATTCTCTAATTGTTTTCTGGAACATCTATTCTTTGTCCAATTCAATATTTCCAGTTTATGTTATACACCCTTCCCACTATTACCAGAGAATATTGGACATATTTACATACATTAAAACTCAGAAATGTCAGAGAATCAAGCTTATCCTTCAATTTTCTCAAATCCACATTTTCACAATAGTCACTATGGCCAAATGATACCAGTGTTAATTCTGGCAGCAAATTTCAGTTTAGTTTTAGTCATTGTCGTTTGACTAAAAAAAGCATCTTAATTTTAGTCATCTGAATTTAGCCATCGACACGATTAAAATCTAGTGTGTTTAGTTAAAGCCTCTGTCTCATTTGCCCCTTCCCCAGCCCCTCTGTGTCTCTTTGTGTCCTCCCGGGCCCTCTAGGTGTCTCTCTCCCGAGATTAGACCATCTCTTTTGCCCCTTCCACAGCCCCTCTGTGCAGTATTAAATCTGCCATAAAATTTCAGTTTAGTTTTAGTCATAGTTTTTGACTTAAAAGCCATTTTAATTTTAGTCATATTTTAGTCATTTGAATTGTTTGAGTTTTAGTAATATTGATACTGAATGATACAAAGTAATAAAGGAATCATAGGCTGACAAAAAAAACAAAAAAAAAACTAGTAAACAAAAATATATATTAACATAAAACAACACATATAACAAAATTAACATACATAAGGAACAAATAAAACAATAAAAGTGGTGAGAGCAGACACAGAACAAAATATTAAAATAGTTACCCCTATGTTCAGTTAAAAACCTGTAAAGATAAAATCAGGAAAAACAGACATAGGGTAATAACGTACAGATAATTGATAAATGAGCAAATAATTGTGTAAACTCACATATTTCTGAGCCACTTAAAATAGAAGCTGGCTCAGACTAAGAACATTGAATGGATTAATGTAGTGATAGCTGGAGTCAAATGCTAACTGCTTGCTCGTCCTTTCTTAAAAAAATCCAGGATGCAAGATCTCAGTAAAAGGTTTATTATTCCAGAGTAAAAAAACAGCAACAAAAATGAAACTCTGCAATCTCACTCTCCACACACTGACGCGTTTCAGCCGAAGCTTTGATAAAGTTTTAACTAATGTACCTCCTCCTATAGTACATAAGGCACCTACTTTCTCCTTTTCTCTTCCCCCGCATTTTGATAATTTTTCAGAAATTATACCTATCAAGGAAAGATCATCACCTCTGGCCGTGGAGGTTATTGATCGGAGACCTCTATCTCACCCTTAATCACCCACAAAACCTTGCCCATTAACATTTCTATTGGGGCCTTACACAAGGAGGAGATAACATTTCAAATAATTTATTCTTCTTCTTGTCCCATCATGTTAGGATTTCCTTGGCTTAGTTAGCACAATCCTCGTATCGACTGGACAAAGGGAGAAATATTGGAATGGGGGAAGGACTGTATTGGGGCATCATTACCTTACCTACCACTACACCTCAAACCCCCGAAGTTCCCATACAATATAGGTAGATTAAGGAAGTATTTAGTAAGAGTTTACATCCATGCATTGACTACAGAGAATAAGATTACTGTTAAGAATGCGTATCCTATTCCCCTCATTTCCAAATTGTTTGATAGACTCCAAGGAATTTTGTCCTTTTGTGTCCTGGGATTTGTCCGCACCTTCAGCAGAGGACGTCCGGCTAAGAATAATGGAAGCGGTCTTCTGAGGGTGAAAGCAGGTGGGCTGGCCACGGTGCATGGAACATGGCCAAGCAAAGTTTGGAGTTTATTAGATACCTACTCTTCTTGCTCTGCTCCCTTTACATTGAAAAGCTTGTAGGTACAGGATATAGGCACCAGGATCACTATATTAATAGTGGTTCTGGCAAAGAGAGTGGGCCTTTAAGAATTGTATTTTTGTTGTTGAAAATTAAACTTTATTTTAAAAAAACTGGCTCCTAACTTGTTTATCTGGCTCCTACAGTCCAAGCAAATTTGTCAAGCACTGGCCTATGGTGACATTTCAAGAAGCTCTTGACAAACGTTTTGCATGGTCTATTTGAAAAGGTTTCTCACAGAAGTCAAACAATTTGTCTCTTGATGAGCTTCAGTACTCCATGGTTCTGATCACAATTTGTATTTATGATAACAAGATAACTAATACGTTTGAGAAAGGTTGCTTAGTACGTATGGACGTACGTACCAACATACATACAATCATTGGAAAAATAAAGTACACCCTCTATGAATTGTTTTATATATCACGACATAATAACTTTTCCTTAGCAGGTCTTAAAATGACACAAATACAACCTCAGATGACCAACAGAGCATGGCATATCAAGTACTGCTTCCATGGGAATTTATTTATATGGAGAGACTCAGGAGGCTAAGTAGCAGACAGGTACTGCTGATCAAATGCCCTTGATTACTTGAGCACCAGCAAGTGTGACCATCTCTACAGAGAGTCTACTATATGAGTGGAGCAATACAGCATTTTGCCAGATAGGAATTTCCTTGCTTTCTATCCAACAAATTGGTCACTATTGGATTTGGCTTTATTAGCTCTCACCTTAGACATCTGTGTTTTCTCTCCCTTCTTGTATTGCGCAGCCTCAAGTGAACTTGTATAATACATATTTGGCAGCTGTTGCGGTGAACCCACAACATGCGGTCAAAATAGATCTCAATGCAAGTGAAACAGGCCATTCTTAGGCTGCAAAAAAAATCCATCAGATGCTTTGCAACACAAAAAGGCCTGGACATCCATGGAAAACAGTGGTTGTAATTTTATCTCTCACTTTTCTTTTCTATCACGTACTCTATATTTTCCACCACTACACCATAAAGGTACAGTACACATTATTTTCTTCCTTTCATTCTCTATATATTTATTGGATTTCTCTCTCTCTTTCTCGATTGTCTCACATCTCATTCACCTTCCTTTCTCTATTTTTTTTATGTTTTCCACTATTCACTGTTTTTATACCTACTAGGTTTAATCACATATCCGGCCATCAGTCACTAGCCAGCTCCTGGAGTCCATCCACTTTACTCTTAAGGTGATTCTATATTTGTCTTCTCTATAGGTTTTTAGTGAATCCCTATTTTCTCCTAGTTTGAGCGGTCTAATGCTAGTCTGTCTCCCTCTTTCCTGTGTGTTACTCTAGGTACACCAGAATAGCGCCTTTATACTAAAATAGTAGATTCTGATCTTTTATATGCTGTACAGACAGAAAATGGTCTGAAAGTAGTTCAAGAGATCTCGTTTATCTCACTCACTCACTCACTCACTCTAATTTTCATTTCTTTTTTACAATTTCTTTTCCATTTCTGGTTTTCTATTTTTTCCCTGACCTTTACCAGAAATCACTTTTACAGAAATGTTTCTTATTATAACATAAAGCTGACTTTTTTCGACAAGATACTCTCATTCAAAGTACTTTTGAACAGAAAAATATAAGTAAGATAAATTTGTATCTTTTTCATTTTTTAATTGTTTGATTCGGGCTAGCAAAAATATGGTAATATGGTTTGTATATATACGTTACTCAGTTATATATTTCTTCCACTGCTTACAACTCATAAACTCACTCCTGTTTTGTCTTTAAGAAGGTCATAACTGTGGTTTTTATAAATTATTTGATAAAATAAACCTTTCCAGATAAAGCATGATTTTTGTTTTTAATGTTTGTGTCCGTATTCCATATATCACAGGGTTTAATAGAGGAGGGAACACTAAGGAATTTACAGACAGTAAAATGTGAGCAGTGAGAGGGAGTTGGTTGCTCCCCAATCTGTAACGAACAAAAACAAATAGAACCCCAACTAAAAATATTAAAAAACTGAGTAGATGAGTCACCAATGTGTGGAAGGATTTCCGACGTTCATGGCTGGAAATTGTCAAGCAGATGAGGAATATCTTCAGATAACAATAAATAATGATTACCATGGTAAAAGTAAAAAATATCACCCAGATAGTAGTCCCGTAAATGTTATTGACAGAAGTGTCTACACAGGACAGAACAAAAATGGACATGTTGTCACAAAATATGTTTTTAATTTCTGCTCCACAAAGGGGCAATCTTGCTGACAGAAGAACTGTTGTCAACACTGCTGCAAAAGTGAAGATCAAAGATACACCGATCAACTTCAAAACTTTGTCATTTGTCATTAACATGGAATATTGGAGTGGATGGCAGACAGCCAAATACCTATCGTATGCCATAATGGCCAAAGTAGATATTTCAGTAAAAGCAAAAGCTGTGACGCAGAATGATTGGCTAAGGCAGGCTTCACGAGAAATTGTCTTAGATGAAATAAGGAAATCAATAGTTAGCTTTGGAAGGAAAGATGAACTCCCAAAAAGACCACTGAGAGTCAGGATGCATATAAGAAGGTACATGGGTTCCTGCATGCTCTCTTCATTTGCAATTATGAACACGACCATGAAAGTCAAGAGTACGGTAGCTATATATAGGATGATAGAGGTTGCACAGTAGAAATATTTCTGCTCTTCCATTTCCACCAGTCCAAGGAGCCAAAGAACGGAACTGGAATTTGGCGCACGTTCCATCTTGGTTTATTTTTTTTCTGCTAACGTACGACAATGAGATAACTTCATCAAAGTAAAGAGCAAATAGTTGTAATTTCCTTGCATCTCTAGTAGCCCAACTAGCAGAAATCTCCACAATGATTTCAAAATACCATCAATAGATTCTAAGTCGGTTTTTGTAAGCCATTTTAAGCCATTAGCAATGACATGCTGGCTGCTCTGGTCTTTTTCCTGATAAACTCCGTCTTGTATATATAGCATGCTTTTATTTTAGCACTCAGAATAAATATTCCCACTGCTGGGAATTATCTCCTCTCTTGTGGAAGAGAGAGTGTTGGATTTCCTTAATACACAGGTGCATCAAACTGGAATAATATAGGATAAGAATTGTTTTGTTTTTTCCCCATAAGGGGTTACTCCAAGCATCATAACCATTACAGCCTGCTGTGAGGAATATTCTGTCCCCATTCCCCCCACAATGGGGAAACTTTTGCATTCATTTGCCCTTTTACCTATGCATAGAAATGACAATAGCAAGTTGGGAACTCCCAAGGCAAATTACACCCAAATAATGGTTCTTTTTCTATCTTTCCCTCTTTTCTGTGCCATAATTGCAGCTCAGGCTCAGGCACCTAGTAACAAGCCTCATGATAGGATGTTTATACCTGTTCTAGAAAGAAAAGAGATACTAAGAGTGTTTCATGATAATGTGATAGCTGGGCATGGTGTGGCCATGCCAATATAGATGAATTATACTTACCTGGGTCAGGGTGGATCACCTCCCGATCCTCTCATGACCAGACAAGTTAATAATTTATATAAACTTAACATTTCTCATATGATCCAACTATCCAATTTAGACACTGGCAACACCTCTCTCTTGCAAGATTGGGCATGCCTCTTAAATATATATAATATTTCATAAATGATTATACCTATTACAAATCCTTTTTTAAACTGCAATGGTGATCCTATAGTATGGGAGGTAGTAACATCACTAACCTATCTGAATATAATTTGTTGTGGGTAATCATATATTCTCTGATTGTTTCCTGCAACAGCTATTCTGTCCCAAATTCCATATTTCCAGTTAATATTATACACCTTTCCCTATATTGCCTGAGAATATTAGACATAGTTACATACTTTTTTCAAATATTAAAACTTGGAAATGTACGAGAATCCAGCTTAACCTTCAATTTTCTTAAATCCACATTTTCACAATAGTCTACCTACCCTAACTCTTAAATTGTGGCGCAAAGGTTTATCCTTCATTGGTCACTATTTACACTCCCTTTACCATCGAATGGTAACTCTTTGAAATCTATATAGCAACTACATCACCTCGCTCCAAATCCCACTTTTTCAAATGTAAAAATATATTCAATCCAGTTTACCTCCCCTGCAAGACAATGACTCAACTCTCCATGATCTGGAACGATTACCAACCTGATTGTTCCCCTAATTTATTACATGGTTGAATACAAACATTTGTAGATCATTCAAAATCCATTAACCATGTTTGCAAATGGACAACATCCCTTCCCTCTCTTTCACCAATGAATGACATTCTCACAACTATTAAATTACTTGAACTTTTTCCTGTTTCTTTGTGGCACAGATGCGTTGATGGATTCCATAACATATGCTTACATTACTCTCAACACTTAATTTAATAGACTCCTTTAATGTTTTGTAATGTGGGGAAGTGAAGGGTATTTATTACATTGTGTTTGAGCCTGTAATTGTATACGAGAATTTTGGTCAGAAAGTCAAACTTATATAGGGTCACTCTTATACTTCCCAGTAGAACTGGCCTTTAAGCAAAAATCTTGGCAATAATACGAACATGGCGACAGAAAAAACCCAATTAAATGTGGGGAGCACATCGTTCACCACCTCGATCACCTCCAAAACCTTATTAAAGAGATTTTTTACTGACAACACAGAGCCAGATGCGGAAACAGTTTATACAACCTAGGATACAACATAGGATCTCCAACTAGCCCAACGTTAACTGTAAAAGACTACATCAAATCCCACCTACCGCATACTCTCCAAGCTGATCATACAGAATTACTGGATGCACCTTTCACTAGTGCGGAATTGAAAACAGTTATCCATTCCATAGCACAGGTTAAGGGCACAGGGTAAAATCCCAGGCCCAGGTGGCCTGACAACTCGCTATTTTAAACTTTTCAGGCATATCCTCGAACCACACTTCCTCAACACTGTTAATGGAACAACACTATAGTCTCCTCTCCCACCACCGATGCTGAGAGCATCTATAATGGTCATCCCCAAACCAGGGAGAGATCCAACTGAATGTAGCAGCTATAGGCCTATTTCCCTGGTTAACCTGGACCTAAAGATTTTTGCCAAACTCCTCACGCTCAAGTCTTACTTGCTTGACAAAGTGGACTGGTCCTATCTGTTTTGTATGCTAGGGGCACTGGGACTAGGTCTGAAATTTCCAAAACTGGGTCCAAGCACTATACAGGGAACCATCAGCTAGTGTGAGGGTCAATGGACAGGACTCACCCCCTTTCATCATAAGCCATGGAACGAGACAGGGGCTCCCCTCCTTTTCATCCTGGCCATGGAACTTTTCTTTAAATGCAATTAGGGCTAATAATAGGATTTAGGGATATAAATATCCAGGAGGAGAAGTAAAGGTCTCTGAATTTGCTGACAACGTGCTCCATACTACTAGAAATGAATCAATATTGTGCCTGCTCCAATTTCAAAAGTAATACAGATAAATGTGAAATCCTGGGAACAGCGGTCACCCCAGAAATGAAATCACATCTCAGAGTGAGAAATCAGTATAACTTGGTTGAGACAGGATTGACATATCTTAGAGTCAGACTTAGCTCCAATACTAAAGGTCAATACCATTTGAACTACCTCCCCCTATTGAAGGATATAAGCAAGAACCTTAAAAAATAGGCACTGACCCACTTCTCCCTATTTGGCAGAATTATCATCCTGAAGTTGATGATTTTACCTAAAATATTGTATCTGTTCCAGACTCTTCCCATACCACTCCACAACCAATTCTTTCAAAACCTAGTCCAGACTTGCTTATACAGTACTGACGAGTAACAGAAATAAAGGAGGCTTAGGTTTACCCCACATTTATAGATATTTCAAAGCAGTAGTCTGCGACAGATACTGACAAGAAAAAGTTATGGTATGATCTGGTGCAGTGCTTATCACAGGTACCATTACCCATGCTTCCTTGGCAGACTTGTCAACTACACAGAGCTTCATCAACTCCTCACGCCCTCATACACAATATTTTACAGTGTTGTCAATATCATAAAACCTTGTGATACTTTCCCCAGGACTATCCCCATACTTCCTGATAGTTAATAACCCGGACTTTCTTGAGGGCTAAGGAGCACCCATTTAAAGAGAATAAACGGGTTAGTCAACCCAATCATAAGTTTTGTGAGACCGACTGTCTCCCCTTCCAATAACAGACTCAGCCGCTGGGGAGAGAGACCGACTGTCTCTTCTCCCAATAACTCTCTTGGCCGCTGGGGAGAGAGACTGACTGTCTCTTCTCCCAGTAACCCATACTGCTGCTGGGAAGTGAGACTGACTGTCTCCCCTTCCAATAATGCGCTCTGCAACTGGGGAGTGAAACCGGTGGTCTCTCCTCCCTGTAATGTACTCAACCGCTGGGGATCTGGGCCGACTGCCCAGCATCCCTGTATGGCCGGTAGAGAGATCTCGGTCCCATCTCCACCTGCCATCTGTGGGTCTCCCCAGGACCAGTCTATAAGGTCCCCTACTTCTGTAGCTGTTAGTGAAGCAGGGGGTACCTCGGCCACGTTTTCCCAGCTGTAGGCTGGCAGGTCTGGGTTCACCACAAAGTTTTCCCGTTCTGCGTCCATGCTCTGCGGCTGACACGAGTTTAATAGTTCCACATAGTCCATCTCCAGCTCTCGTTCCATGGCAGCGAAACAGCGGAGGTCTTCTCCCAGTCCAATAGATCTCGGGCCCTGTAATATCTCACACCGGTAATGCAAGATAGCCCAGTACCGTGACTCTGCTGGACTGCCGAAGTTGACGTCTTCCGCTAAGGCCTTCCACAACAGGCCAGGGCTAGTGTAGTTCTCCCCCTCTGGCTGGATGCCCTCTGCCCTCCACATCTCTGGCCGGACGGTGGACCACCACAGTGCATGGTACGAGGCGTCCAGGCTCAGTTCCCTTTCCACAAGGTACTCAAGTTGTCTTACTCGCTCCCCTCCAGGTTTGTCTCCCAGAAGCGGCATCCGCCAGGCCATTTGTTCCTCCAACTGGTATGCGACACCAGGAAGGCGCTGCTGCCGTTGATACTGGACTTCCTCCAGGGCATCGTACCATAATTCTTTCCGGGCAATATCTCTCCATTCCAAATCACTCTCTTCCTTAGGTGTGTGTGCTGCCCAGGGGTCCATGAACCCCATTTTCCCAAATATTTCTGTAGACAGGGATGCTGTATGAACACTAGCGTCGCCCTCAATTTGTAAATCCACGAACGGTGTCTCC